TGCCTCAACAGAGGTCGTCGGATAAACCGGAAAAGCCCGGTGAGCCGCCTGCTCAGCTGCCTATTGAGCCGCCCGCTCAACCTCTTGGCAGATCCTATCCTGGTCAACCAAGTTAAGAGCTCCATCACGCGCCGGGTCATACCCGCGCGGCTGGTCACGGCACCGGGCGTTGCTTGAAACGGCCGCTGAATCTATGTGCCCTCTATAACTTGGGCTCCGGCTTGGGCGAGGGGTCGAATGAATTCTCTCTCGACTATAAGAATAAGCCTCCTGTTGCACCAGAGCCATCTGAAGAAGTTCTCTGATCCTTCGGGTTTCAATCGTCGTCGGAGAGTCCCCCTCCACTGGAAGAGCCGCCAATCTTGCCTCCATAGCGATCATCTTCTCCAAAGGGTTAGAATAATGGCCCAGGGGTGTCGGTACATAAGGAGGTGGAACAATATTCATCCGAGGAGGTTCCATCACCCGTGGCTGAACCGGCGCCCCAGCCCCAGGCGTCGCCACCCGGTTCACCTCTAGCGGGTTACTAGGGCCTGCACCGGGTGTGCGGAAGAGGTTTCTAGGATCGTAAGTCAGAGGCAGACGTGACTGAGCCTTCTGGTGTCTTCTCCTCATGACCTCGTTTGATGCGTTTAGATCCATCGTGAGCTGGAAAGCCTCTGATTGAATCTGCTGAGCCCGAGCATCCAAAGCCGCCCGCTCCGCAGCCATCCTGACTTCCTCCACTGCTAGGTTTTCCTTAGCTTGTACTACCTCCTCACGTAACCGTGCCACTTCTGCATTGTGCGGAGCTTGATCCGTTGGGTTAACCATGGCAGTCAACAGGGCTGTCATCCTATCCATGAGATCCATCAGTGCCTGAGCCGGCGGGCGCGCAGGGCCTCCTGCCCCGGCTGCCGCTGACCCGGAGGTTATTGCTGTCACGTCCGTAGAGTTTTGAATGGGTTGTGTTCCCGTCATGAAGATCCCTGCTCTGCTTGGCGGCTCGAAGGGGTCCGGAATACTGCTGCCATCGGAACAGCCCCCAAGCCCACAGTCTTGCAATTGATACAATGAATCCGTCTCACCTATGGACGATCCACCGTCAGAGCAAATGGATGTCTCATCGCTAGACTCCGGTTCTTCAGAAAACTCTCCTCCATGGATGCATCCCATGAAGGCACTCTTCACAGCGGGCTGAGTCCGGGCGGGTCTCGCGGGCTGAGTCGTCTCGATGATGTCGGTGCAGATGTCCGGCTCAGGGCCCGGCTCGCCGATCTGGCCGATGAAGACGTGAATTCCGCTGAAGGGGGCCTAGTACCCGTACTCAATTGAGCCAGCGTCGAGGCCCCAGCCTGCGTCATCGATGTAGAGCTTGCGGCGACGACTCTTGGTCATCCGGCCCACAACGTATCCCTTGAGCCCTTCGAAGTTGCCCTTCAAGAACTCAAATCCACCATGCACTGGCCCCACGGTGGGCGCCAACTGTCATGGAATTGTCACGGCAGATGTCCTAGTGAAAGGACTTAATCGTGGAGCCATCGCAACTAGAAAGCTTAAAGGGGTTAAACGGGATAAAGGACACAAGAGGTTTATACTGGTTTGGCCCCTTGCGATGAAGGTAAAGCCTAGTCCAGTTGATATGGTATCGCTAGGTTTCGATGACCAAGGAGCGAATACACTTAACCTGGCTCTCGATCTGTTGTTTCTTGTCCTAAGCCGCCACTGGGTCGTCCCCTTATATACACGGGTTGACGCCCTGCGGCATACAGAGTCCCGGCCGACTCATACAACGTATCCAGCTCGGTGACCTTTCTTACATACCTTACAATACAAGTTTACATACTTGGTGGTTTATATCCGTGGGCCTTAAGCCGCCTTCAGGTTTGGGCCCTCTACTAAGCCTATCTATGAACCGCCATTGTTAATATGCTCTTGGGCTTCATAAAGATGAATCGCCATAGGGATGACCCGGCCCCTCCTGAACGGGTCATACCTAATAGTCATATCCCCAACAGCATCCCTACAGTTTTTGTAACTCGGCTTAGAAAAGAAGATAACATTAGGGAGCAGAAAAACTGAAAGTGTATTGTGATTTTTAGGAGACTTTCTCATCGGCTACACATTTATTGTCTTCATGTGTTGTTTGTTTTCTCTCATAAGTTAAATAGCTTATTGTTGTTACTTTTTATTATTAAGTGGGTGTGATCTTTAGGAGACTTTCTCATCGGCTACACATTTATTGTCTTCATGTGTTGTTTGTTTTCTCTCATAAGTTAAATAGCTTATTGGTGTTACTTTTTATTATGAGGTTTGTATGATTGACCCAGTCCCAAACTTGTATTTGAATTCAATATGGTTTGTTACATACTATATTGTCTGAAAAAGTGTTAGACTAGCTTGAAGAATACAAGAGACAAAGAATTGGCTTTGTTTTGTTAAGCTAGCTCCCTTACATGTGTATGTTTATGTCATCTCATGCCATGACAGTCACTGTTTGTTCAACTAGGTGATATTGTTGCCCAAAATGGCTCGACCAGCATCATGGGTCAGTGTGTCATTTGGTTTGCCAAAGTGCAGGGAGTTTGCGCCTTAAAAAACATCATGTGGCACATGTACAATTTGCAACTTGAAATCGATAATACTACTAGCGTCTTAGGTTGCTGTATGATCATGATTGTTTTCTTAGTATGGTGTTGTCCTTTCAAATAACATCTTTCTCATCTCAATATTTACTTAGTTCTGTAAATAAAATGTTGCTAACAGTAGCAAAAATAGAAACTTCAATAGCTTGGTGCAAATGTGCTCACAGAAAGAAGAATGTCAACCTGTATTTCACACCTTATCGTTAGTCTTCTGTCTACTTGCCAATCCATTCATGTCATATAATCATTTAGAAAGGCAATTATTTACCGTAATTTCGATGTTTTGCATCTTGATTTATTTGCATAATTATCTACCATCTATTGGAAAAATTGGCGGGCACGGATAGTGTGAAAGGCATTGTCGCCCTGTTCCTAGGCTTGGTTCTGCCCTCATCGCTCTGAAAGTGTATGTCCTCTGGGTTAGCCTGTTCGATGCCCTGTAAATGTTCAACAAATTGCTTCTGAGGGGGGGGGGCTGCAAATGTTCAAGTGCACCTTATATTTTGGGAAGGAGGGGGTATGAATAAGGGAATTTAAAAAGTGCAAGCTCTTTGCTGGTTCCGTCACATGCTTATCCTTGACGACAAGCTCTTTATCACACAATGTAGTCTCTCACGGATGTCTCTTACATGGGTGATTTAACTTTATATTTGGGCTATGTTTATATTTTTATTAGCAACAATAAATGAAACCTGACAGTTACTCGAGGATGCTTCTACCTTCGAGACATAGTGGGGGACATTTAAGATGTACAGCTCATATAGGAGAGACGAGAAATTCACATAACTAAAAGTTATATTTTCTACTGTAACCGGAAATATTCCACAACAACACACTAATTATAATGAGCAGGCAACAAATTCTTCCTTTTTCTTTTCCAGATTTTGTTTGGAATCAAATTCAGTATCAGCACTGCTAATTATAATGAGCAACGCAATAATTTCTAAAACTTCATTTATTGTCTGTGCTTTGTACAATGGCTTCAGTCAGCTGTTAACATGCAATTATTGTTTCGTATTTTTCGGGAGGTTTTGATGTTTGAACATTACTGTTTCTTGTCAATGAAGATTAGCTTTTTCTTTATGCAAACATCACAATTTGTTCAAGTTGAATGCCAGCTGCGTCCTGGCTTTGGTGGTAGTGCTCAAAACCTACAGAGTTCTATCATTCTATTTACATGAACTTAGTTTTCATATATGTCTTCCCCGGTCCATTTTTGACATTCAGCTAACTTGGCTACCTATTTGCTTTGGTTGCAAATGGGAGACTTGCCTATTGGTTTATATATAAATGATAGGATTTCCCTTTTGTTAGAAAGGAGTGCGGGCCTTGATTACAAATCTTCATGTAGGACATCCTGAATCATCATTTTCACTCCTGTTTCATCTGGCAAGATCTTTCTCTCCATGGTTACACCTTAATAAACTGTGCACCAACTCACATGACAATAAATTGAATTCAAATCTTTGTTGGGCAAAAATGGTTCACTTATTTAACCAATCATCATGCACTCATTATTCTGCTATGTCCACTTGCATTTATGTTTTTTAGGCTTGTAAATTTATACAAGATGAAAATTGATGTTGACCAAAGTTAGAGTTGCTAACTAGGCACTTCTTATTTCAATCAGTACTTATAGTTTCAGCTCATTAGCTTATGAAAGTACCTTGGAAAGTATGGTACCATGTCATATAATGAATGTAATCTTGGTTGTTTTTTTGTTGTCATTTTCTTACATGTCTTTCCTCTTTAGTGATTTATTGCAAAAGTATTATTGATCTCCTATGTTGAGTGTTGACAAATGAGCAATTTAAATGCCTTTTCACTGATGAATCTAGATGAAGAGGAAGGAGAGAACATAATCTCGGTGAAGATATTTGAATAAGACAAGATAGTCTGTTCTATGAGCAATAAGACCATATGCCCTCCATGGATCTAATCATGGGTACTACTTTTCATTGTTACCCAAATGACATCATAACGAGTTGTATATGATGACTATTATTTTCAATTTCTGTGAATTTTTCATTCGATCTTTAAATATTTGTCGTAGTAGGTGTATCGCTGAAAAGAATATTGATCGAGACGCTTACTGGTAATCAGAAGAGAAATGCATGTTTTGGGCCTTTCCAGTGAAGCGGGCCCGTTCCTCTCCGCCTCTCGACTACTCTCGCCCGTCCCCTTCCGTTTCCACCCAAGCAGACCGCCGGCGGGCGGCCTCCACACCCCCGCCTCCCACTTCTTCCTCCCTTGCTCGGCCGGCTCCGGCGACTCCTATCCGCATGCCTGGAGCCCCCACGCGCTCCTTCTCCCCCAACACTGACCCCCTCGAGTCTCGACTGAAGCAAACCCTAGCCTCCCGTGCGCCTCGTGCAAATGGATGCGGCGGGTCCTAGCCCGAAGCGGAGGAGATCGGCCTCGCCCGGTGTGGAAGAAGACGGAGGATGCGCCGACTACATCAGCGCCCTCCCCGACGCCGTGCTTGGCGACATCATCTCCCTCCTCCCCACCAAGGAAGGCGCCCGCACCCGAATCCTCGCGTCCCGGTGGCGCGACCTCTGGCTCTCCGCCCCTCTTAATCTCGACTGCCGTGAGCTCACCGCCGGCAGGAATGAAGTCCGCTCCGACGTCGTCTCCCGCATCCTTTCCTCCCACCGGGGACCCGGCCGTCGTCTCTACATCAACACCTGCATCCACTGGATACCAGCAGACACCGTGGAAGCTTGCCTCCGATCCGCCGCTCTGGACAACCTTGAGGAGCTTGATTTCATCAACCATCTGTTAGAGAAACCACAGCGGGCATTGATCCTCCGCTTCTCGCCCACCCTCCGTGTTGCCAACATTGGTGGATGCAACCTCTCGGACGTCAACTTCCATGAGCTCCACCTTCACTTCCCCTTGCTTAAGCAGCTCGGTCTTGTAAATGTCATGATCTCGGAGAGCTCGCTGCATAGCCTGATTGCCGGGTGCCCAGCTCTCGAGTGCTTGCTGATTGACATGTGCTCTGGCTTCCGCCGCATCCGAATAAACTCCCCAACTATTAGATGCATGGCTGTGAGAGAATATGGGATACCGATAGAGTCACTGCTGCTTGAACAAATCGTCATTGAGAAAGCTCCTTGTCTTGTGAGGCTGCTTTTTGAGAGGGGCAGTATTCTGCAGGTAACCGTACTCGCAGCTCCTAAACTGGAGACTTTAGGCTTCATTAGTGATAAGTGCAGGTCAGGTGAATTGTCCAGACTCATGATTGGCTCCACTGTTATTCAGGTATGTCCTATGGCTTCTCAGTTGCATTTCTATGCGCAGAAAAATTGCCTATCACCTGACCTGTGCACTGGCCTAATATTGTGGCTTTCATACTTGATAAAGGGATTGTGTGTTGATAACCTGATAACAGTGGTACAAACTGTCAAGATTTTGGCTCTTGATATGCACAATCTTAGTTTGGATACTGTTATTGAATTGATGAGATGCTTTCCGTGCTTGGAGAAGTTGTACATTCAGGTGATGTTTCTTCATTGATAGTTCAGCAACCTTTTTGATCTACTTTTGGTCTGAACTTGTTGATTTGATTATTTGTGTATGTTATTTCAGTCATTTCAATCAAGACCGGGGAATTTGTGGCGTCGTAAACACCGGAATCTGTTAAAATGTTTTGACATGAGTCTGAAGACGTTAGTGTTACAACTATATCGGGGGAAGAAGTCGCAAATTAACTTTCTTACATTCTTTGTATTGAATGCGAAAGTGCTAGAGTCAGTGACACTTGGCATCACAACCAGGAATAACAATGAGAAGTTCTTGGCAGAACAACGCAGGAAGCTTGAGCTGGAGAACAGGGTTTCCAGAGATGCTCAGTTTCATTTTAGAACTGGTAGTTGTGTCCGCAGTTCTTATGATATCAAGCATATCGGTGATTTGGATTTAACTGATCCATTTGCACATATGTAGCTACTTGTTCTTGCCGGTTGGCCTATTTCATTTTGTGTGTTGTCAAACCTGAGTGGTTAGCGTGTTTTTACTACCTTTTGAGTTTGTATCATCTGGTACCTTAGTAGAATTCGAGAGACTATTGTTTATGATACTTTTGTCAGACGGGGCACATGTTTGCAACCCTGTGCTAGTTTACATTAACTCCGGTGTTGGTGTTATTTCACATTATGTTTTATGGCATTGTTCTCCGAGTCTCTTTCTCGTTGCCTGTTAACACTGAATACTTGCCTGATTTCCCTGAATAGTGCTGTTGAAGTTATCGTTTGCTCAACAGTGAATCACTGAACTCTATGCTGAATGTAAATCTTACCATTAAAGTTCCACTCTGCTGATTGTTGTAATGATTTTGAATACCATTATCTGAGTAATACTTGGCACATATTTTTGAACTCATTATATGCTCGAGATGAGAAATCTGAAGACTTGCAGCTAAATTGGAACTTTGTTTAAAAACTGAAACAATATGTTGTAGATAGATTACTGCTAGCAGCAGGATTTGGATGATTCTGAAACACTCTCAATAGCCGCTGCAGATCACCATTTGTTGTATCTTTCAGAAGATACTCAAATGGTTCCATGCAATGTACCTTTGTCATGTATACTATCACCTGCTTCGATCTGAGCCACGAAAGAAACAGCAGGCTCGAGACCTCTCGATTGTATGCTTATATATATGACTATGATACCTTGTGTCATTTAAACAAGGCAGGTGTATGTCTACGCCGTCGATCTTAGCTGCGACTCCCTCTACCCCACAATACAAGACCTGGTTAACTGTCGATGACTTCACCAAGCCACTCACCATGAGAGGACTAATGAATTCAAGTATAATCTCGACCTAAACAAAGTTCCGTAGGTTCGGATTACCGAAAAAGGCTTTCGCCCCGCTTTATAAATAAAGCAAACCGCCAAGAGCACATACAAGGACTAGTTCAAAACACACACACCCAAGTCACACAATAAAAATCCAGAGGTACTGCTGAGGGCACAACTCAACAAGCCCAAAACACACACGAAATAAAAGAGAAGGCTCAGCCGGGGCCAAGGCCGTAGCCGGAGCCGGAGAGCAGCAGACGACTAATCAGGCGGCGGAGGGGGCGGCGACAGGCGGACGGCCATCGAGCGGAGGTCGGCGATGAAGGCGGAGATGGCGTCCCGATCCCGAGAGCGGCTAAGCGGCCGCCAGAGTTGCAAGTAACCAGACAGTTTGAAGAGGGCGTCAGTAGAACGTCGAAGAGGGGAGCGCTGAATCACAAGTTTATTGTGAATAGTCCAGAACGTCCACGCGAGAACCCCAATCTCAAGCCACCTAATGTGGCGAGAGGGTAGCGGGGAGGCCTGTAATTCGGCGAAGAGGTCGGGGAAGTTGGAGTGGCACCAATCCCCACCAACCGCCTCTCTAAAGCAGCTCCAAACGAACTGAGCAGATACGCAGGAGAAGAAAATGTGGTTCGAGTCTTCGGGGTATCACAAAGGGGGCAGAGGCCAGAGCCCGGGCCATTGTGCTTGCGAACCTCAACCCCCGACGGAAGCCGACCGCGGATCCATTGCCACATGAAGATCCGGATTTTTAAGGGGCAGGCGAATGGACCAAACCGACTGGAGGGGCGGCGGGGCGGAGGAAGGGGCGATAGCCGCGTAGAGGGACTTGGTGGAGAATTGACCCGAAGGCTCAAGGCGCCACCGAACCTCATCCGGGCCAGCATCGACAGTCGGTTCATGAAGAGCAATACAATCAAGAAGCTCATGCCAGGCGGCCACTTCCGGAGGCCCAAATGGCCTCCGGAACGCGAGGCGCCCTAAGTCAATAAGGGCTTGCTGAACTGAGATTGTAGGGACGACTGTGATGGAGAAGAGGTCGGGAAAGCGGGCCGTGAAGGGGGCGTCACCAGCCCATCTGTCAAACCAGAACAAGGTCACTGCTCCCGATCCAACCGAGATGGAAGTCCCGGTGCAGAGGACGGGGAGTAGTTGGATGACCGACTGCCAGAACTAGGACCCGCCCGACCGTTGGCAGAAGGCCAGAGGTTGGCCACGCAAGTATTTATTTTGGATGATGTCTAGCCACAGACCGCCATGCCCTTGAGAGATGCGCCAGAGCCAGCGGGAAAGGAGGGCAATGTTCATGCGCTTCGAGCACATGATGCCAAGGCCTCCCTGCTCCCGGGGCTTGTAGATGTCGGACCAATTAACCATATGATACTTCTGCTTGTTATTGTCCCCAGCCAATAGAAGCGAGATTGAATTTTAGCGATCTCGTGATGGAGGGTCTCGTGGAGGCTGTAGAAGATCATAAGGAATAGGAGGAGACTAGAAAGCGAGGAGTTGATGAGAATCGTCCGGGCCGCCTTCGAGAGCCATCGACCTTGCCAAGGCTCCATGCGCGTTTGCAACTTGGTAACCGTAGGGCGAAGGTCTGCCACAGTGAGCCGGGAGTCACTAATGGGCGTTCCCAAGTAAGTCATTGGGAAGGAACCTAGGCGGCAATTGAGGCGGTTGGCGATGTCAAGGGCCTCAGCCAGAAAGTAGCCCATCATCATCACATCACTTTTGTCGAAGTTGATCTTAAGCCCAGACATTTGTTGGAAGCAGAGAAGGAGGAATTTCAGGCTAGCGATGTCCGAGTCCGAGCCTTCGACCATGATGATGGTGTCGTCAGCGTACTGGAGCAGGGAGATGCCAGTGCCACCGGTCAAGTGGGGGGGGTGATCCCACGAATATGACCTGCGGCCTTAGCCTTGTCCAGGATGGCCGCAAGAGCATCAACCACCATATTAAACAGGAACAGGGAAAAAGGGTCGCCCTGCCTCACCCCACAGAACGTGGGGAAGTAAGGGCCAATCTCCCCGTTGATGTTGACGGCCGTGCGCCCACACGAAACCATCTACATAACCCGTGTCACCCAACGGTCATCGAAGCCTTTTCGCAGAGAACTTCCCGAAGGAAGGGCCAGCTAACAGTGTCATAGGCCTTATGGAAATCGATCTTCAGAAAGACCGCCTTGAGGTGCTTGGAGCGGACTTCATGGAAGACTTCGTGAAGGACCAGCACCCCATCCAGAATATACCGGCCTTGGATGAAAGCCGATTGGTTGGGGTGGGTAATATGGTCGGCGAGCAGGGTCACCCTATTGGCGTACCCTTTAGCCAGGATCCAGAAGATCACGTTAATCACCATGATTGGGCGGAACTGACGGATATCAGAAGCACTAGGAACCTTGGGGATGAGCGAGATCGTCCCGTAGTTAAGGTGCCAGAGATCGATGGACCCAACGTAGAACTCGTCGAAGATGGCCATGACCCCCGGTTTGATAACATTCCAGAAGCTCTGGAAGAACTTAACTGGAAGGCCATCCGGGCCAGGGGCCGAGGTGGGGTTCATGCCCTTGATGGCAGCCCAGACCTCGTCCTCAGAGAAGGGGGGCATAAGAGCCGCGTTCTCAGGCTCGGAAACAAGTTGGCGACCGGACCAACAACCAGGGTCCAGGGATAAGCCGCTCCGTGGAGCGGCTATGAACAGGGACCCATAGAAGCCATCGACGTGGAACCTAATGTCCCGCGGGGATTGCAGGAGGGTCGTGCCATCCCAAAGGAGGGGGATGGTGTTGCGCCTACGACGGCCATTCACGATGGCTTGGAAGTAAGCCGTATTCGTGTCACCCTTCAGGACCCATTTCTGAGCCCCGCACAACCTCCAGTAGGCCTCTTCATCCGTGTAAATGATAGAGAGCTGATCCTCCAAGCCGTAGCGGGAGAGCCACTCCTCGGGGGAGAGGTCGATAGTGTCTGCACGAAGATCCAAGGCTTGGATCGCAAACAGAAGAGCCTTCTTACGCTCGCGGAGGTCACGCCCCAGGTTGGCGCCCCACCCTTTCATGAACTGTCGGCCACGCTTGGCGCAGATGTGCCAAGAGTCGACAGCGGAGGGATGGCGAGCAAGAGACAGCGAGAGAGCCCGAGTCTCCAACCACCGGGCCGACTGCATCGATGAAGCCAGCTTGGGACAGCCAAAATGTCTCAAACCGGAAACGAGGTGGAACCGGGGGGCGTTCATCAGCGGAAGAGAGAAGGAGGGGGACATGGTCAGAGCCAATCCGAGTGATGGCCCGGATGGAGGTGAGGGAGCAGCGAAGGTCCCATTCCGGGGAAACTAGGACCCGGTCCAGAACGGACTGGGTCGGGGCAGCCTGACGGTTGGTCCAGGTGAACCTGGCACCAACCCGGTCGATCTCACGGAGGCCAAGATCAGCAATGCAGTCGTTGAACATTTGCATAAGGCCAAAGTTGATGTTTGCATTGATCTTGTCCTCCGCAAACCTAAGGAGATTAAAGTCACCCCCTACAACAACAGGCAGCGATGCCGCCGACACCTTCCGGTGAAGCTCCTCGAGGAAGGATGCAGATCAGCTGTGGTCGGTAGGGCCGTAGACAATAATGACCTCCCACTTGAAGTTCAGGGAGCGTTCAAAAATCTCCATGCTAACAAAGAACTGACCCCGGTCCATACTCCCCACCTCGAATGTGGCGTCCTTCACGCCTAATAGGATGCCACCGGAATGGCCCGCGGTCCCACTAGAAGGGAGCCAATGCCAGGCGAAAAGGTGGGAGCTCAGGCGGTCAAGCTCCGGGAGAGAGAAATCCGTATGCATAGTCTCCTGGATGGCCACAATGTCAATGTGCTCGTCACAAATGTACTCGATGAGTTGGCGGCGGCGGCCATCATGGCCGAAACCGCGGATGTTCCAGAAGAGGGCATGCATCATGCAACCATTGAGGGGCTGCTTGACCCCAGGACACGAGATGCGCTTTGGGCATGGAGAGCGGCCGTCCGAGAACGGGTACGACCCCGAAGCTCGGCAGCGGTCAGGGGGGAATTCCACAAATCCCACAAGGAGGGGGCGGCCTTGGTTCCGCCGACTCGGACGACGAGTCAGGGGGGAAGAGCAGGGCTGCTCTAGC